ATACAACAAACATCGATAATATCTACTACATTTTTAAGATCCGTAACCTCCATATTATTTCTCAATATACGCCATCTTCCTTTGAGTTTGCCAAATGCCCTTTCGACAGCTATTCGAGCAGATGAATGTATTCTATTATATTGTCTTTGTACTCTGCTTAACTCTTGGCTTGAGCGTCTTTTAAAAGGAACCAATAACCAAGGCATGAGCGGGAATGCTGAATCGCCTAATATGTGTGTGTTACCTGGGAAGCGTCCGTTTGAATCCTAAAAAAATAGTTATAAAAATTATGAGTATATGATGGTTTCTACCAAGTAATTAATTACTTACGTTCACTACTTCTCTCCAGAATGCAGACTGCTTTAATACTCTGGCATCATGCATACTGCCAGGTTGACCGCTGTATATATAAATAAATCGTTCCCTATCATCAACAATAGCCATCAATACTACACTATAAAAGCCTTTGCGATTAATGTATCGTTGATGATATTCTATGCGTGGCTGTGAAATCGGTATATGGGACCCGTCTATGGCTCCAATAACATTCGGGATACGTGATCTAAGCTCCGGAGGAGCAAACCCTTCGATTACTCGCTGCAATTCTTCGCCTCTAGGCCAATTAATTATATGTCGTAAATTGTCCAGTACAGCAGTAATAAATCTGTTAGTAAAATTGGTGACTGAACCTTGCCCAATCCCGAATGTGGTCTCCAGCTGTCTATAACTCATTGGATTAGCGAGCCTTTGTAACACTATTGCAACCTGAATTTCAATCGGCGTTTGTGGTTTTTGCGTTGAAAATTGATAGATTGGATGAGCGCTAATGCTGCTGAGAAGGCGATTGAAAGTAGTTCTCATAATACGAAAGTGGCACTTGAAATTATTATAAGGGTTTTCATCGCTGAGATTTGGGAAAATATCTACCCAAAACCCCATTGTTTTAGGTCGCATTACTCTTGATATTCTAATAATTGGTAAATTACGTTCTAAATTACTTAGAATAACTGCCTCGTATTCCAGAAAATTATTTTCAGACTCCTCTAGAGCATTCCACGCATCCACAGTAAGAATAATGGCAGTAGCGAGAGTAATTTTTTTTTGAATTGATGTAGACATTGTATTAGTGAGCTAACTGAAAAAAGAGAGAGAGAGAGAAAAGGAAGAAAGAAAAAGAAGAATACTGAATTGCATTTATTTCAATAATTACAATATTCATGTTTCGCGCGCACATAGTAATATTGATAATCTCCTGCATTAGCTCATGATCGTACAACAATGGAATTTAATTATACAAATATGGACAAAGCCTATTTTCCAAATACAGTAGGGGAGTGGGCTATCTCCCCTACCAAGTTTAGTAACAGGCACATTACCAGATTTGATAGGGGAGGTACTGGTGAGAACACCCATAGTATCTTTCGGTTAGCATCCGATATAGGTTATATCTAGCAAAATCCTGTATAACGAGACAATTGTATTATCGTCGGATTTGTTCCGTGAAAATTTCCTTATTTAGCGATATCCGTAGGTCTGTTTCACTATATTTGTTACTCGAAGCTGATAATCGCCTGATGTCTATGAATTGTCTGAAAAATTCTATATATGGCAACGCTCCTCACATAAACAAATCTGTTGTGCTGTCCTCATTTCAAAAACTTTCGTCGTTTATACCATGTTTGATAGCTAAAATGTCTTTTTTTTTTGCGTGTTTGTTAAACAAAATCTTGTACAAACTGCTAATTTTAAACTTACGTCATGGAAAATTCTGTTACAAAACAATATTTATTAAACCCAAATTCACTATGCGTTACGCATAGATTATAAAAGCGAGAGATTAATTTCCTTAAAGTACGGTAACGATCGAGCATTAGAATACATTAACTTAGCAAATTCACAAACTAACACTTTCTTTTGACTGTAAGCAGTTATTGCGTCAGTGCAAACCGAACTATGTTTTTAGCAATTTGCGGCAGTGCGTCGGCTAATATCTGCTCTCCTTTTTCGAGGGACATCAATTTAGTGTATCCAGTTACAGTTTATGTAACACTGAAGAAGATTCTATACAGTAAACATTGTTTATGCATCGGGCTAGATAAAAACGGTAGAGGGGAGCTCTACACAGCACAGTGTAACGTCAATCTCTGTTCCACTGATTCCTGCATTCGACCCGAAGAACACAATTTATGACGTGTGTCTAAGCGCAACTTTTATTCTTTACTGTGATGAGCATCTCTGAGATTTCACTTAGGAATGTTCATTCTGCAAACCTGTTTCGAAAATACGATTGAAAACATATAATATGCGTTTAAAACTTAAGCTGTCGACGGTTTTAGCATTTAAAGTTGGTAAACGACTGCTTGAAAAGTAGGACAATATTCCGTAAAAAAATGTTTACAAGGTACACAATATCTAATACAGAACGACTACTAAACAACACAACAAACACCGTGATACACATCTTAACATGCTAAAAAAAGATGAAAGTTTTTGAGGTAACTATTTCGGCAAACAAAAAAAGCCATGCAACTTGTTCAAAAGCGAGTTTTGTAGAAACATTTCTGAACAAAAAAACGTGATAATATGGTTTAACATAGTTTTCTAGACAAAGCAACCAAGTTTTGTGCCCGATTTTTTTTTTCGGATGGTTGAGTTGACTTCACCCCTACAATCCTTGTTACGCGATTTGTGTTGTTGTAGCACAGGCCTTTGTTCACTGTGTATAGCCAAATGTTATAATCGACTGACAGTCAAATTAGGTTAAATTACGTTACTTGACATTGTCTGCAGTGTTACTATACGAATTACTAAACAATAGATCATCACCTTCTGACAATTCAGAGTTATTAAATATACAAAAATAAAGTTATAAATACCCCGCGCTTTTCCCACTAGTCGCTATTATCCTTACATGACATAAGGGTACCCTAAAATATATTATTCATCAGTCTCGACGACTTAAATTTTTACTCCCCAATTTTATATTTCACCATGACGAAATCAATAAAAAAATTTATTGTTGACACGTTGCCTTCACGAAGTACT